AAGGAAGGAAGGAAGGAAGGAAGGAAGGAAGGAAGGAAGGAAGGAAGGAAGGAAGGATGGATGGATTCTGGGAGTTGAAGTCCACACACCTTAAAGTTGCCAAGGTTGAGAAAGATTGGGCTAGACAATTATATGGAGGTGCCCATCAACGTGCCAGACATTTCAACTGGAGGAAGGCTTCGCTCTTGAAGCACACGGCCACAGACACGCCGGGCTGATTGCGACAGAGGCATCTGGCTTGTCCAGAATCCTTCCCAGGAGAGATGCAAGCTAAGTTTAGGATCCATTTCCCGTTCGCTTCCCAACTCATCTCTAAGGGCCGGTCTTCGCCCCCCCGAGCTGAAGGTGGCAACGCGCTGACTTCCCTTCCCAGCCTCCCTGCATTTCATTTCCTGTGCTCCCAGGGCTGCGACCCACAGAAAGGGTAGGTCAGGCCAGATCCGGGCTCCCTCGGGATCCGGTCTCTGCGCCAGCTGCGGGCCACGGAGGCAAAGGAGTCAGGGGGTCGAGCGAGGACGGAAGCCTCCGCACAGCTGCACCCAGCTGGGGCAAAAGGGGGCCGGGAGGAAAAATCGGGAACGGTCTCTGTTCCCAGCAGGGCCCAGAGGTGACCACTGGAGCGCGGCTGGAAAGGAAGAGGCCAAGGATGGCCCCAGATGTGTCCTTGCCACGGATGGGCAGAGAGAACAGCAGACATGCTGGTGCTCAGGATCCGCTGGGATCGACTGGGATCGGACTGCCCCGGCCTGAAGCCTCACAAGGAAATTGACTCTGGAGGAGTCCAAAGCAGCAGGGCCAAATCCGGGCAACTGGATTTTTCCCCCCACCTTTAGGTCCAGATTCCTTTCATTTGTAAAATTAAACCCTCCTTCCTTTTATGCAGCTCTTTTGAGGTTGATTTTTTTTTCCACCCTGTTTCTTCTGTTTTTATTTTGCATTGCTCTCATATATCATATCTCAGACTCTTTTGGGACTAGGGTAGGTTATAAATGCCATCACATCAATCAATCAGTCATCAATCAATCTATGCTTCTTAGCGTCACAAACCCCATCATTCAGCACAAGTTTACTTTTCCAGTCTTTCATAATACAGGTGGTCCTCGACTTACGACCATTTGTTTAGCACCCGTTTGAAGTTACGACGATGCTGAAAAAAGTGACTTATGACTGGTCCTCGCACTTGCAACCACCGCAGCGTCCTTGTAATGATGTAATCAAAATTGGGTGTGATCACGTGATGCCGCGCTTAACTACTGCACCGCTTAGCAACAAATTTTCTGGTCCTGACTGTGGTCATAAGTCGAGGACGACTTGTAAGGGCTCTGCGTGATGGATGTTGTCGCTGAAAGTCAGCCAGGGCCACAGCACTGGGAAACAGAGACTCCAGGGTAGCTCTCTAGCTATTGCTGGACTACAATACCCAGTAGCCCCAGCCAGCAGGACCCAAGGGTGCCATGCTGGTTGTAGCTCAGCACCAGCAGGAGGGCGATCAGACTTGCGACTGAAGCCTCTCTCTGTTTATCCGTTCTTTGTTTCAACGAACATTTCCAGGAATGCCGTCGAAGAACAAAACTGTGTCTTTCAAAGCCTGGGAAAATAAACAGTGTGGGTACCCCAAAGCAATCAAGCTAACTTCTTCTGAAGATAATGTTTTATTCTTAAGTTACCACCACCACGAGGCCTTGAGGCTGGGTGGCCAGGCTCTGGCTGTTGGGGAGAGCAGAAATTAGTTTATTTAGCTAAATGCAAAGGAATGCAGACATTTCTCCCAAGGCACAAGCCAAAATATAGTTAACATTTAAACCTGCGCTTCTTCTGCCGTCCCCTTTGGTTAGACGAAAAGTCAGCGGGGGAAAGGAAAGATTGGGGTGAACGTATTCCTACATCCTGAAAAAGAGAGGCCGTCATGGATTCTCCGAAGTAAACTTTGGAGAAAAGTGCAGAACTGGATTTAACCGAGTCGAAAAGGGCAACATGGACTCAACACATTTGCACAATGGAGAAGTAGAACCTGACCAGTTTCGCCCAGTTCAAATCCTCACTGGCTCCTGGGTATCTTCCCTGTAACCCAGTTTGGCCTTCCAGCTGGGTGACTGGGTTGTCCTGCACATCTGGAAAGCGCCAAACCGGAGAGACTCAGCAAAGATGGACGAGAAAAACAGCTCAGGGTTCTTCCTGTGCAAATAATATTAGAAGAGAATTGGTCTGTCAGGTTGAAGCCCATCAGGCAGACTGTTAGAAAAATCATTGTGTGGGTGACTTATTGTGGGTGGATAAATTAATCACTTGGCCAGATCAGGGTCTCTGATTCCAGAAGTCAGGAGAATAAAGCTAGAAATTAAGAGAGCTTTCCGGCCTCCCTTCAACCTTCAATGTTTAATTCAAGGTTTCTGTTGAATTCAGAGGCTTACGGTTACGTTACAAGACTCGCTGGAAGTTGGGTGGCATATAAATTTAATAAATGATGATGATGATGATGATTAAGACTGGAATCTTGGCTGGGTTAGCTCATGGCTGCAGCTTTGTGCAACCCATTAATCTCTAAACATCGTAAGAGTAAGTTACAGAGGTTGAGCCTTTCCCTCCATTGTCTTGTTTTATTTTATTTTTTCACACCGTCGCTGGGCTTAACTTTCCTTTTCCTTTGCTCACAGTAGGTTTAGGGCATGTATTACTGGGTGCCAGGCACGGAATTTGCACAAAGCATTATGATTGAATGGAAAAGTCACGCCAGGATGAAAGGAATCAATGGCCGTGGCAACTTTTTCAAAGCACCGCAAGGGTTGTCGATATTTGGGGCTGCAAACCAGGAGCATGGCTGTTCCCTTTCGGAACATTAACAGGGGGTGCTGAACGGTTTGACAAGGGTATTGGAAAAACTAACCAGGTTATTCCACTTGAGGTAGACTTTCAGAACGGCCTGATCTAGGAGGGTTAGAAGGGTTAGCCCTGCTGGGACTTGTGATGGTATGTGGGAAAGGCCTTGGGAGATGGGGCAAAGAGACTCTGCCAAGGGAACAGTCAGATAAGAGGGAGCATAGCCCACAGCTGCACAAGGGAAGAAAAAGAAACTCAGAAAGGACCCTCCCTAACTTCTCAGGCTGTAAAAGAGACAGCGGGAGATTTGTACCTTCAGGCTTGCAAGATTCTGTTAATGTTAAGGTCGAATTAGCTCATCTGGTCGTGGTTCCTGGTCTGGTCCACCTGGAAAGGTTGACAGGACTTGGATAGGAGACCACCAGGAGATCCGAGAGAGAGGTTAGATGGGGAAGTAGAAAAAATAAAATAACATCCCCAGTCAAAAGCACACCACTTCTGCTCTGTTGACGTGTCCCTGTGAGTCATCTGAGCTGAGCTCATTTTGCAGGGGAGCTGACTTTTCATAGCCTTCCCAGGCTCTGGAGACTGCATTTTCCAGAATTCCCAGCCAGGCTGCTGGGAAATGGGGTAAGCATGTCATCAGCTGCCCAAACATATTGCAGTCTGCAAAAGGTTGAAGGTTCCAGTGCCTGGAATCCCGTGCAATGGTATCAGAAAGAGACAGGCAAGCGGGTTACAACTTCACGGCCCGGGGCAAGGCCTTCTGGGAGTTGTAGTTCAGAACAGCTGGAGAACCCAGGTGGCCAAGGTGCTTTGCAGTGGTTTCCCCCAAGGGGCAAACTGCGCCACCCTTCTAGAAAGTGGATCCTCTTGGCACAGAGAACCTTGGGCAGCTCAATCTTGGATGGCTGGCAAATAGGCGTGTGCCGCCCCCTGGTGGCGGCTCTGCAAAGCTGCAGCCGGCTCCCATCGGTTTTAATCCGGATGAAAATTTCAGGGAAGAAAATGGATTTGAAGATCTAAAATCTGAGTGTTTGTGGATAGGCAGCTGACCTCCACCCCCCACCCACCCCCCAGCCAAACCTGAGTGATGCAACTTCCAGATCAGGCAACGGGTACGTCTGCTCTTGAATGATGAAGACTTTTTGATTACCCCAGGCGTTTTAATCGGCTTTTAATTCATTTTGTTTGAGATTTTGAATGACTGCTCTGCTCTGCTGCTGAGTTTGCATGATGCTGAATCGAATTTGATTTTCTGGGGGATGTTTTTCTTCCCATTGTGCTTGGTAGGGTTTTATTGTCAATGGCCCAGAGAGCTTTGGCGATGGGGCGGTTTATTTTTTTTTTAAGAACAAAAGAAATAAATAAAAAAAAAAAAATAAAAAAAAATAAAAAAAAAT